ATTTTCTTTTGTTTTTCAGGATCTTCCGTAAGATCTGAATCAGATGTAACAGCGTTACTTTGTATTTTTGATGAATTATTTGAGACCTGACCATTGGTAGTTGGATTACTTGGGTGAGACAATACCCCACTGCTAGTTGAGTTTACATTCGTTTGTAATTCCAACTCTTTTTTAGCTTTCTTTGCTTCGCGTTTCTTTTTAGCCTTTAATGCAGCTTTCGATGGATTAGCTGTAAATTTGTATATAATATTATTTATACAAACAAATAAAGAAACGAATAAAATTAAACAAGATTTTTTTTTTTTTTTTCTTACAATCTGTAGTTGGTTTTATTCCAAACTCTTCATCATCGTGTAACTTGAAAGTTATAGTTTGTCCTCTAGCAGAAGGTGGTCTGTACACTTGTTTCGAAGCTGTATAAATATAACATTTGAAAATAAATAATTAATTCAAATATATATATATATATATATATATTAATAAAATAATAATAAAATTACCTTGAGGTTGACTCGGTGCAATTCCTTCTACAGCTTTATAGCTAATCGGTTTTTCTTTAAATGTATCAGGTGGAAATGTTTGCCAAAGAACTTCCCATAATTCTTCTTGTTTATTCCATGGTCGTTCGTATAATAATGTTCCACTATAGTGCCATATCTTAAACCTATAATTATTAATAAAATACATTTTTTTTTTCGTGGGGTTTGTTGTTAAACCCGGGCGCTCAGTCCTTGGACCATTGTGCCCGGGCCCCTTGCCGGGAAAAACCTCTATCATCGTGGCGGTCCCGCGGGCAGCCCCGTCCACCATGCGAAGCACAACAGTCCGGTCGCCCCCGAGACCACCAGATCGAATGTTGGCGGTGGTCCCAAGGACATCATTTCTAACGCCCGCGAGCCCAAAGCCACGACGACGAGGAGGCATGCGCTCTCCCTCGTTCGATATCAGAGAACGGGGACTCAAACCCGCGAACTCCGGGTGGGAGTCGAGCGCTCTGCCGACTGAGCCATGCCGTGCTCCAATAAAATACATAACTATTAGCTTATTTAATGAATGAAACAATTATATTTAAATACCACTACTCACCCATTTCCCATTCGCAATCTAGGTGTCGTAGTAGCTGTCATAAAATGTTCACCATCTGGTGACCATTCTAATAAAGTAGTATCAGATGCAGAGATTTCAGCAATAAGTTTTCTATTAACAACATCCCACAGTTGAATAATACCAGAAAGGTTACCGAAACCAGCTAAGATCAGAAGTGCACTGTAGTTAAGGATAATATAATATAATGAAATAGTTCCTACTTTTTTACAAATCAATTCATTTCAATCTATAAAATAGAAATTCTTAAGTAAAAAAAAGGATATTATTTCCATGGGGATTATAATATATACTGTTCCTATGCAGTGCACCAAATTCAAATATTGGTTCACATTTAAGATTAAACAGTGTAGCTTTAGCAGGCATAAAACCATAAACAACACAGAATTCAGTATTTTTTGGAGACCATTGCACTGAATAAATAGGACCTTCTTTACCTGTATTCAAAATAAATTATATTTAATGAGAAATTGTTGTATGCATTAAACTTGTATGATTAATGATACAATAAACTCTATATAATATTTTAAATGTAACTCACTGAACATGACCATTGCAGTTTCACTTTTTGTATTAAGGTAATGTAAAGTTTGTTTTCCATAATAGGAAGATTTATCCATTTCCGTGCTGGTCATTAATAAAGCACTCGTTCCTTTTTGATTCCAATAAATATCTACCCTATCAGCCTAGTAATACAAAATTATGTTAATCTAAAACATTTTTACATCAGATACAATATAATAATCTCATGATATTACCTGGAAGAAACTTTTATTTGCCAAAGCTTGCGTTGATTGAAACTTTGGATACTGAAATAGTCTACCGAGCGAAGGTTGACCAGATTTTCCTAAAAAAAAAAAAAAAACAACTCAATTCATCTAAATGAATGATTTGAAATAAATGTAAACAATGGAAATCTAGATGATTGTTAAAATAAAACAATTCTAAATACAAAAATAAGAAATGAATCATAACATGAAAATTACTCTTGCTTGTATTAAAAATGAATTATATTGCTTGAATTTAATATATAACCTATGTATTAATGTTACATCAGCATGACATGAATTACCAGGCACATAGCAAAGGATGTGGTACGGAGCATTATTGGGCGCTATACTAAATTTAGCAACTGTTGCTATGTTTATCCTGTGTACAATTTTTTCAAAATTGGCATCTTCATAAAACATGACATCTGCACCCATCAATATTCCACAGATTTTCTCATCGCTTGACCATTGAGGCTCCCTAAGTGGATGCAACACAAATGAAGAAATTGCAAGTAAATATGAAATGTGAAATAATATATATCATCCTAAAGCAAATGTTTGTTTCTTTTCTTTTTTTTTTTTTTATCATATGATAATGTACAACAATAATTTTAGCTAAACGTTATTACTGAAAGACGTACATATATTTTGCATATGATTTATGTAGGTTGGAACTTAAATAGTGGCAACTATTTTATTCACAACCGATACAAAAGAGTTACATGTTTGCACCTGTTACTGTCCTTCAAAGTAGTCACCAGCGTTGTTTAGAACCCGTTAGCAAAGTTCCAACCTTATTTAACTTATTTAAGTTCCAACCTACGTATATTACTCGTATAGCACTATGCTACTAAGATAACAAAACAAAAGAAGTTCTAAAATTTTCGTAGCGATCGCTATTGAAGAAAATATATCGTTAAATGAAGATATATACCAAAATTATAGATGCAATGTATTATACGTCATGCTTAACAAAAATGTCTCTTTAACACGTTCGTCGCCCATCGTGATTCGATTGAATTTCTCGCGAAGACCAAATCTGACAATAGGTGCGTTACAAACGTAATGTCAGGATGACAGGAACCCCCCCGGATCCATATCCGTTACCGATATATGACTGACGTGGCGAAGGACGTGTTAATACAAACGTTTTCTTGAAAAACTTATCTTAAAAATAGGTATACGATAATGAAAAAAAAAAAAGAAATACTAATTATACTATTATATGCATATCAAATGTTGAAAGACGTTGATACGTTACCAATCACTCTGTTTTTTTTGTACAAAACTCTTCACTAATTCATTAGTTTCAGTTTTCCATATGTGAAGATTAGGTGATCTTTGAGGATTGTTTAATGTTGCTGAAAATTCATTAAGAAATATTAAATATTGTAATTTAATAAAGAAATTGAGTAAAAGATATTTAAAATATTGTATAAAATACCAGTGTACGGTTCCCATGTCATAAAATATGTCCCCTTACTGGAGAATCGTATAGCACTAACTTTGGGCTTTTTAATTTCTGTGATAACTTTCCATGTGTTACAAAGAACGATTTTAACACAAGTTCCATTGGTCCATGCGAAGTAACGTCCATCTGGACTAAATAACATAACTCTGCATAATTTACTATCATCTTTAGGAAATGTCGTCACTGGCTCGTAAGAAGGTGGCCCTTGCCCCAAACTGATACCAGTTGAACCTCGTACTAAAGTTTCAAATATTAATTAATATTTATTTATAATACTTATATATATATACACAGATATATCTAATATTAGAAACTATTTACAAATTTAATTAAACTCAATTATTATGTATATACTTTCAATGAATGAATTAGGTTAAACTAATGATACAGAAAGAAACTACTTAAAAATAGTAAAAAAAAAAGCAAGGTTATACATATGTAACTCGTATTCAATGCATTAGTAGATAAATGAAAATATTTCTAATATTTATTTGAAATAATAAATAAAAAAAAAAACGAACAAATTCTTTCTCAGATGTCACATTTATCGTTAAAGATAATAAATAATAAAGATAATTGTCGTAGAATAATTTGAGTAAATTAATACCGCATGATGCATTTTGGAAGCATGAATTGCGAGATGTCGCGTAATTGAGAATGAAATAGAATAAATAATGCAAGTATATTATGAAAAAATAATCATTCTTAAATGATTAATTAAATGTTAATCATTTTAATTTGAATGAAATATGAATTATTATGAAAAACATTGAGAAATTGCTTACCAGCAACGCAGGGGACAGTTAACGCCATTTTACCTCCGTTACCATGTGGTATCATAATATCGAACATCGACACAACTCACGATTGTAAACGATTTATATTTGACTTTACAATCGATTTATATCTATTTTATTTTATTTTATTTTTTTTCGAATATATTTATATACTATTAATTCATTATTAACATAATTATTTTATAATAAATATATATATACATATATATATATATATGTGTGTGTATATCATTAAATACAATTACTCAATTGAATTAATTATTAATCAAATGAAATACTTATTTTGTAATTCTAAAACGTTATGATTCATGTTAATAATTGCAATATATTATATTAATCATAATGCAAAGTTCAAAAGTCATTTATTATGTTTATCAAATATTACACTTTGAAAAATCTTTATTATCTATGATTTTAATATTAACACATTTGTTTAATACGATAATTTATTATATTTATTTTTCATTTTTTTTTTTTTTTTGATAATTTCAAACAATAAAATTATATATTACAGAATAATATAATTATTATTTGAAGAAACTTGTTTATTTTGATAAATTATCGATAAATCGAAAAACCATAGTTCTATGATTTCTTAATGAATAATATTTTTCTAAAATGCATTTTTATCTATGCACTTTGATTTTGGAATTTATCTAATACTGATATGTAAGTGTGCAGAATGATACATCTAATAACAGGGCCGTATACATGGATGTTCAATGGCACAGGGCTCCCGTGCTATTGACAGAATACATGAATTACTAACCTTCTAAAATTTTCTATTTTACACAGGGCTCTACAAAGTGTACAAACGTTCCTGGTCATAGTTCAGTGTGCATTTGTATGGGTATATATATATAGTATATACACATATTTTACAGCTGTAAATTGACACCTATATATCGTCGTCGTACTTAGGGTATGGCAAGTTCATGTTTTAGGTGAGTGTTGCTAAAACTCTGTGTTTATTAATTGTTTAATATCGTTTTACATTTGTTTTTTCATATATATATATATATTTAATTAATCAATACACTGTCAGTTTTAAACTCTCTTCTTACTTAATACTCTCCACATTATATTTATCTGCACTTATTGAGGTTATATTTGTTATACTAGTGGTTTGTTAAATTAAAGTGTGTGAATTAACATTGCATTTTTATTATGTTTCATTACTCGTTAATATTTTAATTATATTATTAAGAAATAAAGTAGGTTTAATTATACATTAATCAAGTTTAAGTGTATTCAACAATTTAATGATATTTTAGTTCAATTTAGTAGGATGATATATTTGTTTCAATGTGTATGTTCATGATTTTATTTGTCACATTAAAAATGCAATTTTTTTTTTTTTATGTGTTTACAGTAACGTGGACGAGTATGGCTTTGAACGACCTCAAAATTTTGATTATGAAACATACGAGGAATTTATGTCCGAATATCTTAAAGTTCTTGCAAAACGTGCCAAAAAATGGGCAGAAATCATTGGCGAAGGGAAATCCTTACAACGATGTATTATGATAAAAAGATATGTTCGCAAAGGTATTCCTGGAGAATACAGAGGCCAGGTAAATAATTTATTATCAAATTGATTTCATAGAAATGTACAAAACTTGAATTATTAATTACTGTGTTATTTTTGATTAGGTATGGCTTTCTATTAGCGGTGGAGACGAGATGAAACATGCAGCACCAGATCTTTATGAAAAATTATTACAACCTCCGCACAATGCTGAAATTGCATCTGTTATTAAAACTGATCTACCACGAACATTTCCTGATAATATTTTTTTTAATAATACTGAAAATCAACAACACCAATTGTACAATATTTTGTTGGCATTTGCTCATCAAAATAAAACTGTGGGATATTGTCAAGTAAGTTGTTTAACTTGTATATTTCAATATAACAAAACAAAAAGAAATGTTAATTAATAATCTTACGTTTTTCTTTCATCAGGGTCTCAATTACATTGCAGGATTGCTTTTATTAGTAACTAAAAGTGAGGAAACAGCATTTTGGTTATTAAAAGTATTGATAGATAAGATTTTACCTGATTACTACACTCCAACGATGGATGGATTGCTTACTGATATTGATGTACTGGCAGAATTAGTTAGGTAAGATAAAAACATGAATTTATTTAAAGTCATTCAAATTCATAGTCATCATTCTTTCTAAATCCGAATAAGAATTTGTTTCTATGAATTGTATAAAACTAGACTATTGGCCAACACATTGGGATATTCTACATTTATAATCTCACTCTAGAATAAAAATGCCGGACATCTATCAACATGTAACAAATTTAGGATTACCCTGGCCGGTGATTACAACTAAATGGTTCGTGTGTTTATTCGCAGAAGTTTTACCAATTGAGGTAAGAATACAAATTTTCTTTTTATTAAATATATCTTTCATTTTGAATAATAAACAAATCATCATTTAATTATTTATAATTTTGCAGACAACATTACGTATATGGGATTGTTTATTTTATGAAGGTACGAAAATAATATTTCGTGTAGCATTGACTCTCATCAAACGAAACAAAGATAATTTATTAGCTTGTCAAGATTTTACTTTATTGGCTGAATGTTTTAAAGAAATTACGAAAGATAGTATTGTTTTACAATGTCATGATTTTATGCAGGTAAGATATTTATTTTTTTTTTTTTCTAAATATTTATGTCAATATAATTATACTAATTGTATATATTAATTAATTTATTTATTTGTAAATTTTCTTTAGAGTATTTTTAAAGTACCTGGGTCACTGCCTGGTAGCACAATAATCAAATTACGAACAAAAGTTACACAACAACGAATGGAACAAAAAGATAATAAGTTAAGACGATAGTATCTAGAAAAGGATACTTCAATATCCACCGAAATAATCTAGTCCTTTAATTCATGTTTCAAAATTAATATAATAAAAGTAAACTTGTATTATTATTATTATTATTTTAATATAAGCACTTAGTAATGTTGTAAATATAAATTCAAAATTATAGTATATTATAAGATTGCATTGTAATATATAGTTTGAATTGATTGATTTTTTGATCGAAGATTTAAATTATTTTATTTTCAAACAATTATGATAAACAACAAGAACGTATGATATATATTATGCAATACAAATAATCATACAACACGTATGGTCTACAATTTTGTAGTTTCTTTCATTTTATATTATCATTTATTTTACAGTTGTAATTAGACATATAAATATATATTCTAAGAATTATCAATTTTTATTATATATACTTTATCTCTTAAATGTATATAATGTTTAATTGTAATGTAACCTCGCTATGAATGTACAATATGAAGAATTTATTTAATAGACATTAAATTATTTGTAATACATAGTTTATATTTCTACAAGTAATATATACACGCTGAAATTTTGTCTTGGTTTTTTTTCTTTTTTTTTTTTTTTTTCAAAAGAAAATTTTGCTAATATAATTTACAAAATTATATTAAAAATTATTTCTCTAATAAATCTTTAGCCTCATTGATCTTTGCTGCAATATAAGGAGAACCACCACGATCAGGATGATTAACGGACATTATTTTTTTAAAATTTTCTTTAACTTTTGCTTTACTTGCAGTCGTTGGAACTCCTAATATCAAACTAGCTTCTCGTTTGGTCATCTTTGATTCAAAACCGCCTTTATAATATCTGCTGTTTGCTAATGCCTGACATAAAAAATCAAAACATACAATGTAGCAAACTAAATTAAATTCATTCTTATATGATATGAGTGAAAATAAAGAAATCATTAAATAAATACTTGAGAATTCAATTTGGGCATATTTTTCATAGCTTCAGCCATGGTTTGTGATAAAACTGGCATTTTTCTAAGCACATAACGTCCAGCATAACCTACAGCAGCTATGCTTAAACCTGCTACTATCATCGAAGTAGCCTGAAATAATATATTAACTATTAATATAAACAAAATTGAAAACAAAGTAAATTGTAAATGTACAGAATATTTTTAACTACATTTTTAACTTTGTTTTTTAATTTGGAATCATTCCCTGCTTGATTGTATCACTAGTTACAGTTATATTTAATTAATAAATTAATTAAGTAATTAATTTTAATATAAATTTAGGTTATAAATTATCTGATAGCTATAGAAAAAATAATTTCTATTTAATTATTTAAAAATTACTATTATTATTATTATTATTATTATTATTAGTAAGAAGTATTTATTTCATTAGTTATTTTTTCACTATTACAATATATGAAATTATTACACAATGTTGCAACAGATAAATTTCACTTTAAAACTATAAATACAATGCACAAACCTAACCTATACGTCAGAATGAATTTTTTGAAATTCTTATAAAAAATAATAATAAATGATTTTTATATATACGTAATTATTTAAATGAATAAAAAATTGATATTTTTTATACAGAAAACATGTTAAATTTCGAAAAAATATATAAAATACGTCATTAATACCTTTGTTTCTTAACATCATGTGATCATCAAAGTTAAATTTTATTTAATAACTTTAAGAATGCATATTGTCAATTGATAATCGAATAAATAAATAATAATACAAATGTTAATTGTGTATTCAACTAAACTTTTTTTTATTATTCTTACCATTTTACTAAAGATTTAGAAACAAGGTGGACCTTGTCACGATCTAGGATTTCGTTCATTCGTAATTTGCGGTCGAACTGACCTGGCCACCTGGTTTAATTTCACGGAACTAACTTATCTCAATCAGTGAAGCCAGATAGTAGAATATTTTTACCCCTTCCCTCGAGCCCAGCACGCCTCGCACACAACGGATTTTTATGTGTCGGTGTGTCGGGAAACCGAAAGAAGCCGAGGGAAGCCGAGATAGCTGCGCGACAGGGAGAAATAGTACCCCCACCACGCGCCGCGGAGAAATACATGGACACAATCATATTTGAACAATGTGTAAAACAATATGGTGGTGGGGGTATTATTTCTCCTCTGTCACGCAGCTATCTCGGCTTCCCTCGGCTTTTTTCGGTTCTCCGACACACCGACACGTAAATTTTGTTGTGTGCGAGGTGTGCTGGGCTCGAGAGAAGGGGTAAAAATGTTCCGCGATCTGGCTTCACTGATCTCAGTTAATAGTTATTATTACCATTGACAGAGGGAAGCACTTGTTAAATAATCGATTACTGTTTATTTATAAGAAAATCGATAGTTCGATCTTTTTTTTTTTTAAAATGTCAATTTATAAACAATTGGTCGAATGAAAAAATTCAAAAGAATTGTTAATAAAAAACAATAATAATAATTTTTTATGTAATTAAATTATCTTTATAGTTAACAAATACTTAAATATTTGGGATATAACATAAAAATATATTCGTTGTAATTGTAATATTTATAAAAAAAAAAAATGAAAGAAATGAATAAAAAGTTTAATTAATTTTTTAAACAAAGTTATAATTGAATAATTTATATTGTATTTTATATAATAATTTAATTTGTTATTTTGTTCGACAATATTAAATTTAATATCGGTATGACAAATATGAAGAAGTTAAATATTATACAAGGGTTGAACTTATTCTCTTACTTTTTTAATTATAAATATAATTATAAATAAAATAATAAATTCTTATTTAATTAATTTTTTTGTTTATTATCTTGACATATATGTACTATTGTTCTAAGGAATCCTATATTTTTTAGAATAATAATAATAATAATAATAATAAAAGAATATTCGATATTTACACGATTCTTGCGTAAAGATAATAAAAAAAAAAGTTATGGAAAAATATTACACAATCGTGCGTATCGCATGATAGAAAAATATTAAAATGTAAAAACAAAAAAAATAAAAAAAATAAAAATATATTACGATTTACTATCATATAATTATTTATATAATAATAATCTTAATTATTATTTATATATTATGTTTATTTAATGAAAAATTAAAACGCGTGTATTTTCTGTTTTCATTTAAAATTCTATTAGAATAAAATATTTTGATTCGTGTTTAATCGAAACACTTAAAAACTATAATTAATCGTTCGAATTTCCAACGATCAAGGTTTAAATTTTAAAATATAATAATTCGTTTACGAAAAATTTAAATAAGTGAAAGGAAAGAAATATGACATTTCAAAATTGATCAAATTATCCAATGAATCTCAGTTTTTACTTTTGAAGAATGACGATGAAGATCCTCGTAATTTTCACCATGAAAATAAGATGTGTTTAGCCATGACGATAAAAGTGAATAAGAGGAAGGAGATGAGTAACGAAAAGAGAGAAGTGATGATAGAAAGAGAATGAGAAAGAGAAAGAGAAAAACAATTGCGTAACTAAAACAGAGTTGGAGATCTAAATTTTAACTCGCATTTTGTCGCAAGAGCAGCTGCTAGTTTGAGAGTCTTCCCTTTTAAAAGTTTATCTTTACTTATATATATATATATGTATATAATATATAAGCAGAGTCATTGTGGCAAAGAACGCAGATGGAGAACATGGTATATTCGGATGAAAAAATAAAGAATAAGAAGAAAAGGCACCAAGGTGCAAAGAGAAGTCTCCTGGGTGGACGACCAAATATATTTATAGTCACAAGCAACTTTGCTCTTTTACATATATATATTTATCTACATTTTGTATATATATATA